AACGAAAAATGTCGAGCAAAAGTTTTTCATGCAGCCAAGAACCAAAATCCACCGCACAAGTGAGATTTGAGATCTGCGTCTCGGCTTTTGCCAACACGCACACGCATGCATATATATCCTCATATATATATATATGTATATATATAAATATGTATATCTACGGCAGGCAGTGGACCACAAGGCGTATGCGTAATGTGAGTGTAACCCACAGGGACTCAACAATATTACTTTCCATTTGTTGCCTTGTTGTTTCTCGTGCTGTTGCACATTGAAGATAAAAAGCAAAAGTTAAAACCAATTCGCACGCAATTTCTGTGGCATTGTTGTTGTTGTTTCTGTTGTTGCTGTTGTTGTTGTTGTTGCTGTTGCTCCCAGGAGCAGGCCCTTATTCAGCTGAGTGCGTGTCGCCGTGTCACAGAGTCGAGTCGAGTTCACCTCAGCGCTGCCTAAACAAATGCAACACTTTGTTTTAACAGGCGAGGCATGACTACAAAAATTTATTTGTTTACCCACTCCCCGTACAATTATTCAGTGCTGCCTGCCCCTCCCGAAAACCTGCCCAGGTGCGTTCCAGCGGTTGGGCCCGCGGGGCGTTAAAATGCAAAATAGCTTAGATATATAAAGAACAAAAAGTATATGTATATATCTGTATATACATATATCTATAAAAAGGTCGCATAATTGAAAGAAAACTTTCGAGACTCTGACTGTGATTAGGGTGCCGATAAGTGGCATGGATTAGACGCCTGGGGGGTCGAAATTTTCCGAGTGCTGCTGACGCAAAGATTAATGACTTCTGTAACGCAAACACGTCCGTGTATGGACTTTAAAGAACTACTGAGTTTCTCTCCCACTTCAGTTCATTGAGTATTCATATTAAAATTCAATTCAAGTTTGAGCGGGGTAAAAAAAAAGAAACAAAAAGTTAAGCAAATTGTGGAAACTAGTAAAATAGTGCAACTAATGTTTGTAGGGATCAACTCAATTAACTTCTGAACTACAACTGATTTAGATTTAAATGAAAACTAGTTAGTAGTTCCACTTTTGTACTGCCGAAACTAGTTCAAAATAAATAGCTCACAGTAGTTATAAACTCAACTTTTGAAGTTCTTTAAATTAAATCCTTTTTTTATTTCATTTTAAGCTTTCTTAGCAACTTTTAAAATTTGAATTATTTCAGCTAAAAAACGACAATGATTTAAATTTGTTGCTGAACAAGATGACAAGTTCAAGATTTTGTGGGCTAGGTTTTTTCCGTGTTCATCAGAGTTCATCAGTGATTCCTCTCATTCACTCATTACATTTACATTCGTTTTATGGGCTGCACTTCACCGCTGCGATAAACTGTAAGATCTAAACTCTCTCGATATGGCCCGGTTCCGGCTGGTTAACGGTACTTGGGCTCATATCTTTTTATTGCCCCAGCCACCCCAAACAATCAAATGTGCAGAGTCCAGCAGCGGGTGGTCGCCTAATCAAATTTGCGGAATTCGCTTCTTGCAGCGCCAAAAACTCCAATTCCTTTTCCCCACACAGCACGCACACATTTACAGCTACACTCTCTCACACACACACACAGAGACTCTCACACCTGGGGGAGAAAACTGTGCACGTTTCGCAACCATTTTGTTGTTGCTTTAGCGCTTTTATATTCCCAAGCTTTTAATAACTGAAGAAGCCGCTCATTAATAATTTAAAATAGAGCAAAAATATGCGCGCTCTTCTTCTTGCCCCAGTGGCGCGTGGTTGTGGTGAATTCAACGCTCGTCTCTGTGTGTGGATGCCAATGCCAAAATGAAGAGAGCCCAGCTCTCTCTCTATCTCTCGCTCTCGCCCTCTTTGCATTGGCATTTGTGGGCGCATTCCTTTAGCAAAGACACACACACACACGTGCATTTGTGGAATGCCTTCGCAGACAGCTTGCCCCCCTCCGTCTCCCTCTTTCCCACCCACGCATTGATGATTCATGTTTTGTGACTCTGATGCTGCATCAGCAATTTATTGTTGTTTTTGTTTTTGTAATACTTAAATAATTTATTTTTCCGACACTTCCTCGCAGAGCAGTAGCAGCGCCAGCAACAGCAGCATTTGTTTTGTTTTGCTTTGTTTTTATTTGTTTACTTTTTGCCGCTGACTGCGCTGCCAACAGCGCTGCAGTGACGTAAGCTGTGCAGCTGTTAAAATGGCACACACACATACACGAATGCACGCTACGCACAAAAAATAAACGCTTGCCGGCTGCGCTTATTGAATGAAATACTTTTTGAATCATACGCTCAAAACTCACCACAGCAGCAGAGGCTGTCGCGCAGCAGCAGCAGCAGAAGCCAATGCATGGCATTTTTGCTGACGTCGCCGCAACGCGTCGCTGCAACGTTGTTGACGTCGCGACGTTGGCTGCTGTTTAGTTTTGTTCAGTTCACAATTGAACGCTAGCCGTGTCTGACGCGTCGCGCTCTTCTCAGAACTGTGACGTTAACTCACTCGCCCGCTTTGCTGCTCGCTCTCCTTCTCTCTCTCTCTCTCGGTGTCTGTGTGTCTTTTGAGTAGTGGCTCTAAAACCTGCGCCACTGTACGTACATACGTCATAATATTTTGTTACGTGCTTTGACTTTGGCTTTGGCGAAACGCTTCCGTTCGCGTTTTGCCGCAGCATCATAAATCAACACTAAATAACAACAGCAACAACAAGGGACAACAATCATATTTAACAATTTTGTGCGCTATTTCGTTCATTATTCGTTCTGTGTGTGTTGTGTTGTTGTTGCATTATTTATTTATTTGTTTAATTTATTTGCCTTTGTGCACGCGCTCTCCTTCTCTCTCGCTCTCTTTCTCTCTCGCTCTTGTGTGTGTGCTTTGTGCTTGTGTTTGTTTGTTTGTGCAGCCGGCCAAAGGCTTCCAATTGGAAACCAAAAACGTGTATGGCAAACACAGAGGCTCTAAAACCTACACCCAAATAAATAAATTGAAATTCGTTGTATTTGAGGCTTTAATATTTTTGAAGCAAATTAAGCTAGAAAGAGCTGAAAAACGAAGCTTATAAATTATAAAATAGTAGAATTGTAAAGATAAATCTTAAACTCTTAAAATATAAATATATAAATCAAAATTTCAAAATGAAATATTTCTCATAGAATATGTCAAATTCAAAGTTTTAAATCCTAAATATTTCAAACCGATATCTAATTCTAAAACAATTTGAAAGTTTATAATGAATACAAAGTTATTAATAAAGGTTTTCAATATTTAGAAGTTGAGCTGTTTCTTCAATTATTAAAAAAATAATAATAATTAAAGCAAATTGTCAGAAATGTTAAGACTAGCAGTTGAAACGAAGCAAAAGTTAATACATATTTAAGATTTATAAGCTTTTGAAAAGTCTTAAAACCGTTAGACAACCTCCCAATTACTTGAAAAATTAAATTAAAAATAAAAATATTCAAATTTCTAGCCAAAAATTCCACATGCAGTTTCAATTTCAATGAGAAAGATACTTTGACCCAGTTAACATTAAAAAAAAAGTTCTAACGTTCGTTGTCAGCTGACTGGGAAAGTTGCCTCAAATGCAATTTGCATGCATTGCCGGCAGCTGTTTGACTGGTTTGGATGTTTTGGCTATTTGCCCCTTGTGACGCACGAGTGCGAGCGCAGTGGCTGTCAAACTATTTACAGAGCTGTTACGAGCTGATGTTTTATGGCTTATCAATTGAGTTCTGTTTTCGTTGACGTGTGTAGAACGTGCCTTTGACCCAGTAGTGTAGTAGTAACAACATTATTTCAGAGTTAACCCCTCCCCCTCACCACTTCTCTCCACCCTCAACTACAACACGACCTATTCACCTCATTGATGTAATCAAGTTACGTACGTAATAGTGAAGCTGGCCGCCAAAAGACGCTACGCTTGCCCGGGCGCACAAGCCACAAAGAAGAGAGAAAATGCCACATAAGTAAAGAGAGTGCTTGAGTTGAGTTGTGTTACGCACTCACCACGAGCCGGCTTGTGTGGAACTTAAGAGAGCGTTCGCACTTACGCGTTGTCACACGCTCTCATGTTCGTTCTCCCTCTCTCTCTCTCTCAGTCTTCGTCTCTGTCTCATTTCGAATGTGCAGCAGAATGTATTCACCACCCACCCCCAAATCAGGTGGCGCCCTTGCGCTACTTTCATGTCATGGGCTGCTTGCTATTCACGTTAAAGCGTAACGTAACGTAACGTAGTAGTATCTCGTTGACCTCATTTCGTGTGCGAAACTCAACGCGGCAGGTTGTGCAAAGCTCCGGCACCGGCTCCGCTTCTCTTCATTTCACTCACCCGCGCAAAAGCGAAACAAGCTCGTAACTCGTAGCAAAAAATAAATAAAAAATTCTTTTATCTACGTCGTTTTTTTGATTTTGTCTGAAAGTGTTGCCAGGTTAAATGTCAAAGTGTTTGAACGAACTCTTTTAAACTTGCGTGTTTGTTTTTGTGTGTGTGTGTTTGTGTTTTTTTTATCTTTATGAGTTTTAAAGTAAACAAAATTATAAATAACCGATTGCTGTTGTTGTTTGTTAAAGTGTTTTGATGAGCTGCTAAGGCAAATCAAAAGATTATAACAGCAAAACACCCTCAACAACAGCAACAACGACAACAACCGAACCACCCCAAAAATAAAAAGATACTTTTTGGGGTTGCCTTCTGCCAAGCTTCGTTTTTGTTGTTGTCTGCTTGCTCTCTGTTGTCTGTGGCCGTAGCTCAATATTTATTATTGTTGTACTGTCTGCAGATAAAAAAATTTGACCTCGTTTACAGCGAGACGGTTCTTATGAAATGCATGGAAATATATAGAAAAGTGCCATAAAGTGAAATACTCAACTTGAACAGCAAAAATGTTTGCCATAAATAAAAGCTTTGCAGTCGATTTAAAAGATTAACTAAATAATAAAAAACAAAATAAAAAACAAAAAAAACAACAAAACAATAAAAATAGCAGTTAAAATAACTGCTCGCTAACAAATAAATTTTCAACGTGAGCAGCTACACAGAAAACGGCCTCAAAATTGCCGAATTAATCAATCAACCCACAAAGCTGAACAACAACAATTTTGGCGCTGGTGCGTATTTGAACTAAATGCATTAAACATTTTGCTCAATTTAAATAATATTAATATAATCATCAACGCCAATTCAAGATGAACTCACGAAACACTCACCTAACTCTCCTTAACGGCTTGTTTAGCTTAATTATATTCACGCTTGATTTACAGCCACGAAAACACAAATAATAAAACAAGAACAGAAAAAAAAAATAAGTGGAATGTGAAAAGTAAACAATCATTAAACTCATGGCTTGCCAGGCCTGGCAGTAAATTGTTTAAGCAAAATGTACAATTCATATAATTTGATATTTTTATTTATAAATGTTGGCTTTATAGAATCCATCAAAACGCTTGTTTTTATTTTTAGAAACATTTATGATGCTTAAAATCAACAAATTTTCCTGCAGCAATAAACAACTGAAGGGACACGAAAATTATATGTGTGTGTGTGTGTGTGAGTGTATTTAATGAATGGAAAATTATCTAATTCCCGAGACTGTTTATAATTGATTTGATGTTATAGTTAAATGTTGTTAATTGTTGGGTTACTCAGCCAGAAAACCAACTTTGACCTTCCATGCCTTTAATTAATTACTCAATATTAGCTGATACATATTAGTTTTGTTATTTATTTGATTTTTAATCGTTTAATCGGCTTAACTGATCAACTTTAAAATGCCTGAAAATTCAACAACTTCAAACGTTTTTTCTTCGCCCCGGCGTTCAACAGACCATGAAATATATTTTTTGAGGAAAATACCAAAAACAAATAAATATTTTAAAATATGCGTTAAAGTCTATTTAAAATGCTGAACAAATATTAAATGGCTGCCGCAACACCACAGCCTGTCTGTCTGGTTGAGAGCAGAGTACGGAGATGGGCAGCGGGGGAACGGGGACTTGGCGCATGCATCAGAGTAAACTTTATTTAAATGAAGCGCAAATATTTTGACACGTCGACGTTCGAAATGCAACCAAAAATGATTAATATTTCAGCAGTAACAGCAACAAAAATGGAATATAATGAAACCAAACTTGCATTTAATTAAAACAGACGAAGAATTCAATTCCGAACCGAAGATTCAATACACTAGTAAAATTGCCAACACATAAGACTTGATATAAATTAAGAAACTAGTGATTCTTCTCATGCAGGCTATAAGATCTCAGAGATTTGGTTTTTCCATAGGCTAGCAGCATTTGAGCATGCATAAATGTTGACTTTCGAATTGATTGTTAAACAAAACAGTTCAACCGACTCTGTTAGTCAAACTGTTCAAGAATATATCTATATTTTATTCGGATTCAAAGTGTTACAAACTTCTCGATAAAATTATAATACACTCTGCAAAGCTGTGCATCACTTGAAATGCATATTTTAAGCACGAATTGGCAATAAGAGTGGCTGCTGTGGGGCAGCCAGTGTTGCACAATGCACCAATATGAATATAAGTATTTGAATTGTAATCCCCTTGGAATCCCCTTCGTTTCTCATTTCCAATCGTTACGAATCCCTTCGTCCAATCAGATCGGCTGAGGGAACCGGCTTAAAGCAGCACGCAAAAGACTTCGACTCGACACTCAATATTAATGGCTTGTTTTTGTTGTTGTTTTTGTTTCTGTGTTTGCAATTGAAATTAATTCAAGTTGAATTGAACTCTTTATTAGAACATTGACCCAGCAGCGACGTCAGCAGCAACTCTTAAACCAGGGCTGCCAAACAGAACGCGAGAAAAGGAGAGCAAGAAATGATATGCAAAATAGGCTAGCTCTAATCAGCTGTTAAGTCACTTATTTAATCAGCTTTATATGCGGATGATAAGCAATGTATATATACACACACACACACACACACACACACTCAAGCACATATTTACACATACATACGCAGCATAAACACGAAGAACACTTCCGCTATCAGTCAGACAGCAAACATTATAATCAGAACTCATTACAATTATCCGAACGGAGCTGTGCGTGGGTCGCTCAACAAGTTTGTCAGAAATGAGTTACTTTTCATATGCTTCTTTCACTGAAAAAGTGCTGTTCTTTTAGTATTCGATGCGTATTTTATTTACTTTCGTTTTGTCTACCCTAATCTGAGAAAATTGATAAGTTTCTCACGCAATTTAAAATATACTCGGATACAAATTAATTTACGATATTTGCTAAAATATTATTCATATACAGTCTCTCTCTAAATTCGTAAACGTTTTTCGGGCTGCACTTTTAGCAAGCTCTTATTGAACTTCCTCTTAATTTTGCTGCTTACTTTTTGTTTGCCACTCGCAAGTGCGAACTTGGCGCATTTGATTTATTGGGCGATCCCGAAACTTGTTTAGTTTGTTTGTTTAGTCAACTAGTTGAATATTGAATGAATTACAAGTCAACTGCCTGTAATTAACTACCGAGAGAGATAGAGGGAAAGAGATAGAAACTTGTCGCCTTTTTATTCATGAGATTTGTATGAAGCTCATCATAACTTGATGGCTAAATCGATTAGAAAGTCAGCTAAGTAAGGCTCGAAAGTAATTAAGATTGACCAGCTTTGGCTGTCGTTACATATTTTCTGAAAATTTTAATTAAGTTTCGGTTGACTCGGTTTGGCTTTTCTTTTTTTTTTTTTTGCCCACATGGCGATTTGGCCAGTTTGATAAACGGCCAAGAGGCACGCAACTTGGCCAAAAAGTTGCGCTCGTGCAGAAAGCCCATTAAACAGGTGGGCAATATCAAAAAAAAAAAAACCTGGGCTGGGCTGGGCTCCATTTTGTTGGGGGTTCGGCTTTTGGGTGGCGACTTACATGCAACTGGTTGACTAATTTTTTATGTTTTTATATTGTTCTGACCAGGAAGACCTTTTTGCCCTATCGCCCTTTCACCACCCTCACATTCATCAGCTGCCTATCCCCACCACCCTTTACGCCATTTCTCACTCGTCTGACGATAATTTGATACGATTTCTTGTTGGCGATAAAAAATAGTTCTATATGGTAATAAAACTTGTACTTTGCCAAACGTGTTTTGCATAAAAATCATCGACACACACACACACAAGCATATGTGTTAAATGAGGTGGCATTCATAAATTCTGCGCCACCTCCTCCAACTCCCGCGCAGCTCTTTTAAAGATGTTTAGCTGGTTGTGTGTGCTTTGCGGTCTATTTTTGCTTAATTTCCCTGATGATGGTTTTTAAATTTTATGGCTGACTAATAAAAGAGTGTCTGTGTTTGTGTGTCTGTGTGTGTGTGTGTGTGTGTGTGTGTGGAGTGTGAGGAGAGGGTGTGTGAATGACAGCGTTGATTGATAAGATTACTTTTTAAGCCTATGTTGCTATCTAAATGATTTACCTACTTGCCTATTTTTGTAAGCAATAAACAACATTTTTTGATTATATCAAAGGCCAACGTTTTATATTGAAATAAGTTAAGGCCAATGCTAGTTGGGCTGAAAACAAAACTCTTGTTCTAACTACAACTATAATCTATATGCAAAAATTGCACATTTTTATGGAACTTTTATTTTTAATCCACTTATTTATTAATGTACCACATACTAAGCTGTGTGCAATTAGATTTGCAAATGGATTTTGAATATAATCCAGACTCGTTTTATGTCTGGTTATTGGATTATTATACCCTGAACGCATTGAAAGTGGGTATATGTGTTTGTCTGTTTTTTTGGAGTAACTAGAGACTTGAAATTTTTTCGTAAACTATAAGCAATTCAACTTTATTGTATTATCGATAGCTCCATTAGTTTCTTCACTGTCGATAGGCAACTATTGTCGATAAAATTTGAAATATATATCTTTCTATTTGAGAAAATGTCATCACGATCGGCAAAAAATCATATGCTCATATTTATTAAATAACACAGCAACAAGCCGTACACTGACACACATACATATGTCTTGTGTCCAGGGTATCTCATAGTCGACCTCTGTCGACTAACGCATTCTTATTCTTATTGGCTTATTGCAAATGTTTATTTTAACAACCAACTCTGAATTGGAAATCATAAAAAGTATTTCCTTTTCCTATTCCCATTGAATTTGCAGCACTTCCTATTTTCATTTAATTACATTTAAATGCATTTTCAATAAATGTTGCATAACACACACACACACACAACAAAAACCGTTAAATCCGTGTGCTAATCTGTGTTATATAACAGCGGCACAAGGATTATGGAAATGACCAGCAACAAATTTGTCATTAATTAAATATCGTATTTTGTTGAATTTTAATGCGATTGTGTATTGTTTGCTGTGTGTTCAGAGTGTGTGTGTGACTTGTGTTCGCTTGCAGCTATCAATCGCCTGTTCGCCGCAGGCTTATCAATTATACGGCATGCTGCATGTTGCATGCTGCAGCCTTGTTTGTTCGCGTCCATTGACATTTCGACTGACAGTTCAACGCCGGCCAAAAGGCTGCCCCCAAAAAACACCAACAGCATCTGAGCTGCTGTTTTATGCCACGTATCGGGTCTTGCCACACGTGTCAGCCTGGTCATCGTTGTTTTTGTTGTTTTTTTTTGTTGTTGCTGTGACCTGGCGTCACCTTTGCTATTTTTGGCCACAAGTTGTCCCCACTTTCGGGTAAATTGTTCACGTCATTTACAAACCGTTTAATCATGCGCCATCGGTTCCGTCAGCTGTCTGCATTTTTTGGCCAACTGTTCTCTCTCTCTCTCTCTCTCTCTCTCTCTTTCTCTATCTCACTCTCTCCAGTCTCGCTCCGCAATTAGTTAGCTGCTGTCGCCAAGTGTCAAAATAATTCGCATTTACATTTGCCACACCAAATCTATTTTCTTATGCCTTGCGATTTTCACTCTTGGCCATGCGCCCACAAATGACAAACGCATCTCTGACTAAGGTAGTTGGGGGCGGGGGGAATGGGGCATGTGGCATAGCACGTGGGTTTAGCTTCTGCTGCTGCCGCTGCTGCTGTTGCTACTATTGCGGTTGCTGCCTGCCTGCTGCCTGCTGCCTTCTGTCTTCGTTTGTCTGCTGCAATGAGTGAATGTTTGCATGGCATGGCCAAAATGTCACGTATACGTCGTGTGGCACGCCATCGCGACATTTGCGCCGCACGCATGTCACCAGTTGCCTCCCCTCCCTCATCAGATTCTCTCTGAGTGGTGGTAATTACGTCATTAACAAGAAAATTTCGTAAAGTGCTCTTCATATCATCATTGTGTGGCTGCTGTTTACTTCTTATGCCTTATGTTGAACAATTCTAAAATACAGCCACTTGGCTGCTCCTATGAATTTTGACATGTGTATTATTATGCATGGCTGGCATGAGAACTCAAATCACAACAATCAACCATATAAATATATACACTGTATGTGAGTCGCGTTTCATTTCCCATATTGAAAAGCTATTTATTACTAATTTCTATTTATTTGTGCAATATTTTTGTTAGTATTCATTCTTTGAGTTAGTCATGAAATTATAGATTATTTTTGGTGAAATGTTATTTTGTGTCACTTTTATCAATTTGACTCACGTCTCCTAATTAACTATAGAACACTAATTCTCTAATTCTTATCAGCGCTATCTGGCTTTATCAAGCTTAAACTCACAGCACAATTTCAAGAACTATGGTTTTTAATGTTGTGTAAATCTTTTAAGTGCTAATTACAAGCTTAGGCAGGTATTCCTTAGATAGAAGCGCAGACATTGTTTATGTTTATTGTATATGATATATTGTTTATTATATATTGATACCCAGTAGACAAGGGTATCCAATCTGCTGCATGCCTTAGATAGCCGTTTTTCATTTCCTTGTGATTCACTCGCGAAAATTAACATTGGCTGCACATTTAATTACAGTGCATTTAATAATGACCAATTGGCGAGTTTTTGGTGTGGCGCTAATTGGCTGTGAGAAGCGAGTCGAATTATTCTGTCGCTCACTGTTCGTCACACACACACATTTCTCTGTCTGCCTGTGTGCAGGCTATTGAACTTGTCGAAACATGTCATTTGCAATTTGTGTCTGCCTTTTTGACATTGATGCAGAAGACGATTGCAAAGTTTGATTTGATGATTTGACTACGCGCAACTCATTAATGCAACAAGCGGCAGCAACAAATAGCGGCAGCAGCAGCAGCAGCAGCATCAACAACGACAACTGCAAGTGAAGCATCTGCTGCGAAACTTTTGCAGCGCCTTTTACAGTCTTAATTAAATAAGTTTTGTGCAACTTCCACTTGCAGCAGCAGCAGCAGCAACAGCACCACCAGCAGCAGCGGCAACGAGCCAGCTAGTTGCAACTCATTTTGCTTGTTTGCCTTTCATTTGCCAAAAAACTTTTTTTCTCTCGTGCCTGGCAAACAACTTTAATGGGCTTTTAAAAACCAACAACTACAAATAGAGACTGGCAGTCATTTCATTTCGTTTAATTTATTGTAAAGCAAAATGCATTTTGTTGGCATTCGTTGAGTTTTTAAACAATTTGTCAGACGCTATTCGCTTGTGGATATTTTCGTCCATTTGCATTTTGCATTGCAATTTGTGTAAGCCAAGCAAGCGATGCGAAGCAACAACTGCAACTGACTACCATTTGTATGCAATCGATGAGCATTCCAAGTGCTGCCAGCAGCTATTCCACATCCGCTCTGTTTTCAATGGGAAAATTGTGGGCAGCATCAAAATCAATAGGATACTCAAAGTCTGCCAAAGTCTGTTTTCCACCCTGGCAAGAAAATAAATGTATGAACATTGCAAATAACTAGAACATGGCCTTAATCAAACAGTGCTCGAAAACCGCAGAGAAGTCAAATACGATTCAGCAATTTGAAATGCACACATTCACTGGAATCGAAATTGTATAAATAATTCACATGATTCTCTTTCATTCAAACAATTCTTTCATAGCATTCAAAAACCTCTTAAAATAAGTATCTTTGAATTTATCTATTCATTAGAATCGACTTGACTAAAGTGATTCACTTTTAGCTCTTATTGTTGCTATATTCTGTTCGTTATTATAATAATTGCTAAGCTTGTGACTTGTAATATTTGTTGTTGTTTTAAAATCAATCAAAATGGAAATAGGCACACAGCTAATGCTGATGAGAGTGCGCCTTTAATTGACTTAAGGTGTTAAGCTTTATGTGTTTGCATATAAATATATTTATCCATATATATATATTTCTGCCGTAAATTGCGTTGCTCGACTTGTCTGCATTGTTGTTAAGCCAAATTGCTTTTGAAAGCAGCAGCAACAACAAGAATGACACCGGCAAGGGAAGTGGGCTTTAGATATGGCGAGACACTCGAGAGAGTGAAAAAGACACTTATCCAATGATTTAGTACTGTAAAAAATGTATTCTACAGAAATATATTTATATTTTTAATAGCTTGCTCCATTGGGTGGACAGTCAAGGTGCCAGTCTGTCGATGTATGTGCTGGGATAGGGGATAGGGGATAGGGGATAGGGGGCATGCAACATCATGTTCATGCATCATTCTCATCAATGTCGGTTTTTCGTTGGTCATGTTTTAAGTGGAAGAGTTTGATAAATGACTTTTCAAGTGCCAATTTCCTTGGCTCTAGCCTTGTACGGAATGCAAATGAAGGCAACACAAAACCACACACAAGAAATGAAAACCAGTTTAAATTGGTTTGGAGAGGGCATCTTAAATACGTATAATAGGTATGGCTACAAAATTGTTACATAGATAATGGAAAATGTGTATATGTAATCAAAGCCAGATTCCAGCGTTGATGTTAAGTAATTTGGTTGTGAAAGCTAAACCAATTATGTAAAATTCAATTCACAAATAATCAATTTAAATAGATTTGTCGACAAATAATGAGCAGTTTGCTTCAAAATTGTGTTTTCATCATTAAATGTGTAGATAAGCTATATTATTATTATTATTTTTACACAGACTCTGAGTCTGTGCATGGATCTATTGTGGCCCTAATAAATGATCTGTTGGAAATATATGAAATTCAATTCAATTTAAATAGATTTTGTTAAACTTTGTGAATACTTTTCGTGTTATCAATTTGAAATGTATAATTATTCTTTATTATTAATGTCAGAGTCTGTTTTTCAAAACTATTGTGGCTCGTAGTAAAAAATAAGCTACAAAGGCTCATAGAAATATTTGAAATGAAATAAATTAATAATCAATTCAAGTGTATAATTATATGTATAATATAATTACTCTTTATGATTGTTGTTGGAGTCTGTGCTTGGATCTCTGAGTTCTTATATCTCTTGAGTGTTGAGGGTATAGGTTGACTGAGTCTCAGTGTGCATATTCTCGAGTCAGGGCGCAATTAGTAGGTGGTGTATATGTTGGCTCAATCTGTTAATATTCAAAGATAGTTTCTACTCATATTCAGGCAATCGGCAGTCTATTTCTTATAATTGCTGCCTTGCAGTTTCTTGCTCTGTCTGACTCCCAATTAGGCCTGCCAGCATTTAAATATTTTTCGATAAATCGATTTATTTTTACAAGTTGATAGCGAAAACAATGCACTGAATTATTTTAGCAAACAATCATTTGTTCGTAGCCAGTTATTTACACAGCGCTAACCCAGTCATTATGCCAATCAACGAGCCAACTAAACGCCACTAACAACGACAACAACAACAATAACATTGACAAAATACAGCTGTTACAACAACTGCACCCTTTAAATATGTGGCGTAAATAGTTTTGCACAATTTGCACGGCTCAGTGGACTCGCTGAAATAACTTTGTTAAATGTTATTATATGATGGGAACCAACAACAACAACAACAGCGACAATGACAACAAAAGCGGTGCATGTAATAACGACGAAATTATACAACTCAATTACGAATGCATCGATATATATTTATATATTTGAATATATATATATATATAAATATGTGTGCGTTTGTGTGCTTCTTGCTGCATACATAAATAAGGTAGGCAGTCGTGCGGGGCGCCCCTTGATATATATGTATATGTATATATATAGAGTCTATATAGCTATCAACAAGAGTGCATTTCTATTTTGGAGTAGTTTTTCATTTGAATTTTACGATGGCAATTGGCTTTTCATTTGGGGAAAATGTGCGTGGTGCTGTCTTCCACAACTCCACCCCCTTTGAGGTCACTCTCCTGTATACTTATCTATTTATTATTATGGGACACCACGCTCCACTGATTTATGTTAATTTGTTATGTCAACTTCATGTTTTCAAAGTTTTCAGCTGGATTCCGGTGTTTGTGTTTTGTTTTATAATTTTGTTGATGTTGATGTTGTTGTGTGGGAGAGAGAGCATTACATAATACATATTATGCTTTTATACGTACAGCAAATAAATAAATGCTAATTGGCTGATTTATGGTTAATTTCCAATTAAAGTATTAAATTTGCTTTTCTTTTGCATATTTTCAGCCGTCACAATGCGGGAGAAAAAAGGCGGCGCCCTGCAGAAGCTCAAAAAGCGACTGTCGCACAGCTTTGGCAGATTAAGTGAGTACCGCTTATCATTTATCAAATATTTATTGATTTTCCTGCACTTCAAAACTTTGTCCGCCTACAAAAAAAAAAAACAACAAATATTTATTAATTTTTCTAACTACGACAAACAAACAAAAAAAAAAAAGAACTCTAAACAAACAAAAGCCAAACTACAATAAATCAGCAACAAAAGCTAACCATAAATGGGCGACGAAAAAACCAAATAGCTGACAACAGAAGCCAAGAGCACACAGTCCATAGATGTGTGTGTATGTGTGTGTATGTGTTTGTGTGTGTGTGGGTGCAGTTGCTGTACTATAGATTTATGTGTATATAAACATGCATATATATAATTTTTTTACGGCGGCTCCATAAAATTGAATTGAGTCGTGGGGCGTTGCATTGAGCAATGTGAAAATGTCGTGCATGAATCATTCGCAATAATTCTCAAGTTAAAGTTGAGAAACTGCAATTACTTGAGTGTAACCAAAGAATAGCTAATAAATAAGATGCAAAAGATTGCAGACCTTGGGCACCAAGTATATTAAAAGTCTCTTAGCAGCTAGTTGATTGTTCATTATTTCCCTTACCTTATATGCAAAGCTGAATAATACTGAGAAAGTATTTCCTTGTTTTGCAGTTTGAGCTATACTTACGCTAATTTTGCATGAATCTCTCTCTTTCTCTCTCTCTCTCTCTCTCTCTCTCTCTCTCTCGTTGTTACTCTCACAAGAGCGTAAAATGTTCGTCGAATTAGTAAAAGTAGAATACAAGATATGAGAACTATATAAGAAAGTTATAAATATTTTAATTTTTCACCATAAACATTTCACGTTAGCGGTCTTTGTGAACGAGCAGAAGTAGAACACAATAATAAAGAACTCAAAGTTATCACAAATGTTTTTTTTAGACTATTTTAAACTTCAGGCAGCTGGCATTGTTTAAAGCTTTAAGCACTGAAATTAAACGCAAGTGAGAAAGTGTCTAAAGCTATACGCAATTTGCAAAACTTTATTAGTTTCACAGACAAGCCATAAACTCGCTTCAAAAGTTATGACAAAGTTGTGTGTTCCACAGTGAAATTCAAATCCCGTTGGAAAACTTATTGGCTGAAATATTAGATCTCTCTTTCTCTCTCTCTCTCTCGCAACATAAACTAAACAGAACCAATAGATGATATGAGACACACACAGCTGTCAGCCAGGTAGCAAATAGAAAACAAAAAACCGAAATTACTGTTTCGAAATGAATTTCGCCCAGAGTTATTCAGTGAGCTGTCAAAAGTGCCAACGCTGCGTCAAAAACAATTCAAACACGCGATGCCAAAGCCTTTTTTATTTAAAAAAGCTGCGGGACACCCTAACCAAATAGTGAGAAAAAAAAACACTACTTGCAGTTTCAGAGCAATAGAAAAAGGCCAAAATTAAAAAAATGAAGAGGCGAACGAAAACAAATGTTTGCATCGCATCAACAAACTGTCAATGTTTAGTCATTTTGGTCAAAGCATTTAATGGTCAAACATTTTGGATGGCAGCTCTCCAGCTGTCCATGGTAATTGAATGCAGCAGCTGAAGCTGTCTATGACTGACAGTCAGACAGAGACAAAGAGATATGTAGAGAGAGTTGCAAGAAAAAAGAAAAAAAAAAATGGAAAATTCTGCTCTTGCTAATATGCAACATGGCTCAAACTGCAGTTTTGCATTTAATTCGCTCTCTTTGAAATTCCATAGTTGATTTTTTGTGTGTTGTTTTTGTCATGCCTGGTTGGTTTTGTTTGGTTTGGGGCGCCACTCTGATGCCGTATAGCGAATAGTTGTTGTTGACTCACCAGAAACCCGTTTTTGGGTTGCGGCATGCGGCTAATTGTCTCTCAACGCCCACAATCGCTACACTATTGTTGTTGTTGTTGTAGTTGTTGTTGTTAAAAACGAGTTTTGCTTTTGTCCAAAGCAAACCGCTTTATGTGCAGAGCATTATGTTAGCGAACCGCTAAACAGCAGCGGCAAACAAGCCAACAGCTGTTTCCCCACCCCCGCCCCCCTCTCCATATAAGGAACAAGATAAAAGAGCAGACTGTGGTGTTTTTAGTCATCATCGCTGTCTGAGTCTGGCTAATGGCCGGTTGTTGTATTCGTATCATTAGATTTGTTCAATGTGCCCATATGTGGCATGAAATTGTGAATTTCTGAATAGTTATTGATATTGATTGCCCCCTCCAAAATCCAAAGAAAAAACTCAACAAAATAAATATGTTTGTGTTTGCACACTGCCATGAACCAAATTTAAGTTTTCGGGTTTTTTTATTTGGATTAACAATGAGGCAATCAAGAAACCAGTCGAAATTTAGATGCCCTTTTCTCAATAGTACTAAAGTCTATAATCACATTATTTTATAATATTAAATTGAATATTTAAGTTGATCGTTGAATTCACGAATTATGATCTGTTTTTGAAGCTTTTTTCATATCCCAAATATAATTGCCATTTTTAAGATTGTTAGTACAACATCTCAATAGTAAATTGTGTGGAGTAAATATATATATGATTATTTGTTTCATTTTAGTGTTCCATTCGTAAACGTTTTACGTATGTGAATTTGTAGATACATTACAAGAATTAAGTGTTCGAATTATTCTGTCTACTTTTCTAGTCTGATAACAGTTTTAGTGTTCTAGAGAAACAATTACATTGAATAACTTGTACACTTTTAGATACAATACTAACCCATTTCGTAGGAAACATATTTTGATATAAATTGAATAGCACATTCACTTCTTCAATCACTCATTCAATTTGGGATTCATTTGTGCTGCATCCGAAATGTTTCACTTTCCAACAAATTTCACGACAAAATGCCTGTATTCAACATTTATAAGGATACATAAGTTTCACTCAGAGCACTCTCAGCTAAAGTTGGTCGAAATGTTGTTTAGCCACCCCACGTCTCAGCCACTCAGCAAAACCAACAAATATATATGTATACTGAAAATTGCAATTGCAATTTCTTTGCGTTGCTTTGCCACACGACAATTCTCGACTAGTGCAACTGCAATAGATATTTTTTTTGTTGATTTTCTTTTGAGATGCTTTTTGGCAATTTCATTGTTATTTTCCACACGATTTTGCCAGTGAGTTTAGCTCATAAATTTTGCAATTGAGAAACTGTTTTTCTTCGAATAAAACTGCAAGCAAGTCGCCAAGTTTTGCTGCTGCAAGTTAAATGTTTTCATTGCATTATTGAATAGTTGCAGCAACAGCTGCTGCTGCTACTGCTACTGCTACTGCTACTGCTGCTGATGTGGATGCCACTTGCTGCAAAAGCAAAGAAAAGCAAAGCAAAGCAAAGAATGTCACACAACTTCTATTTGGCAAGTTTTTATTATAGTTGTCTCACTTTGCTCTCCTTCCATCTATGTATCTATCTATCTCTCTCATTTGCTGTCAAGGCTATTACAGAAGCTACTTCTGGAACTGCTGTAGTAAGTTGTAGCTTGTTGTTGCAGCGTTTAACTATCGTTAATTGCTATAAGATGTTGTTGTTGCAGCTGCTGTTGCTTCAATTTCAACGGGTTTTCTTTCCAATTATGTACAAGCTCGACAAGCTCAACTGCTTCATTCGCTGGCAATAATAAAAAGTTATGAAGTAATAAGCAGACAGGCTAAGGCAGGTTGTGGGGAGAAAAGTGGAGGGCGTGGCCCTGTCCGGGCATTAAGTAAATTGCATTTAACTGAGCTCTGCTCACTGACCCACCCCGAGTCAAGCTGAGTGTGCTGTCCACTTGTTTGGGGCGCCTCAAGTATCGCTCATGATTCTAGAAACAGAAACAGAAATTGAACCCAGAACGAGAACTAAGAACACGGATCGGAGAATGTCTGGCTTTTGACGTGGGGCGTCTGGTTTCTTGAATTCTGACTGTTTTCCTTTGATAAGCTTGCCGAGGGTATTACAAATTAGCGGCTAAATGTGTTAGGCTTTGAAGGTGACTTCTTCGAACACATAAATTGTTAGCTATATTCTTGATGAACAGCAATGTTGGTTTGCTACCCAGTTGCCGTAAGATATACATATTCACCATGATTTATACATTATGATGAGTGTATAACTGAGTTCTTGAATAGAAAGTTGTTTGTTTCCTTAGACATGTAAGTTCTATGAGTTCTTTTCTTCCGTATGCATCAAACTCATCCATTACGATTTTTATTATGCCTCTAACAATTACCTATATAATTATAAATAGCTTAGAAGGGTATTTCATAATTAGCATATCGCAAATAATTGTTATTTCTTGTGTCTTTAATTTGATTCACTTTATGATACCGGCACATTCTTGAGCTTCATTTATCCGCTTGTTCTCCTTGTGTTGAGAGATTGTTTGGCATAAGTATGCGAAATTCTGTTAAACTACGTTTGCTTAATGTGAAATGCAACCGGCATTTGTAAAACAAAATCTGAAATGTGCAATTTATTTAAGAGAAATGCGACAGCCATCTGACACTTATGCCCGTCTCCAGCACCATCTTTCTTGAGTTATTAATCTGCTGTTGTTGTCGTGCTTCATGTTTTCGCCACTTTCCGAGCTCTATTCATAAGTTGTGTAAATATTTTATGGTACGAGAGTGTTTTTTTCTTTTCTTCATTTTTCATTTTATTTTCTTCTTCAACTTTTTGCTGGACTGTCATCTCTGAACGATGTCATCTCTGCCTGGATATCATTTTACTCGTAGTCGTTGTCGGCTCTTTGTGCCACTGATACACTTTGCCACCGACTGTTGTCGGTGCACTTGTCTCCCTTGTCTCTCCGGTTCGCCCTCTACTTTTATTTGTGCGCTTGTCATAATCCTTTTTGATAACATTTTATGTCACAAGCCATAGACAAACACTCGACGTTGTCTATGACTTTAACCCTTGACAGAGGCCACATCGAAAGTCGACTGCTGCTGTCCCAGGCACCACTTGATAACTTTACACTTGAGCACCGCCTCCACCTACACTGCTCCTCGCCTGCTCGTCT